GAAGCTCCAAAAGTTTGGTTAAGAGAATCTTATGCATCAACCGTTATAGTCCGGACCTGATACCAAGTGGTTACTATCTGTTCCCGTCTATGGCGAATGATTTTGCTGATCGCCTCAAGAGAAGCTTGTGATAATCAACTAAAAAGGAGAGAGATCCTCACCCGACCGCTGCCTCAACGGAACCTTCCACAAGCGATTCAACAACAACATTACAGCCAACCTCGACCACGCCGGTACCGAATTTGCCACCAGGACTAACTTGCGAAGGTGAAGGCTAATATGCTGATCAATGAATTGCAGGAGTTTTATCGTTGTGTCCGAGATGGAGATTCATACACAAAATATGAATTCAGTTGTGCCAAGGGTACGGGTTGGAGTGAGGATAAACAAACTTGTGATTACGCGGTAAATATTAAACGATGTGAAGGACAAACCGAGGAACCGGAGACCTCAACCATCACTACGGAAACCACCACCGAAAGTTCTACACTACGGTAACAGCTGCAAACCAACCACAGAAGAGAGCTCGACAACTACGATCGTAACGCAAGAACCAACCACAGTTCCAACGCAAACACCACAGTCCAAACGTCAACAGCATGGACTACAACGGAGAAACCTTCGACAACGACTGCCACATCGACATGGAGCACAGAAGCTGGGATGACTCTACCACAACCACAACCAACATCAACCACGCCGGTACCAATTTGCCACCAGGAAAAACTTGCGAAGGTGAAGGCTATATGGCTGATCCAATGAATTGCAAGAAGTTCTATCGTTGTGTCCGCGAAGGAGATTCATACACAAAATATGAATTCACTTGTGCCAAGGGTACAGGTTGGAGCGAGGATAAGCAAACTTGTGACTACGCGGCAAATATTGAGCGATGTGAAGGACAAACCGAGGAACCGGAGACTTCGACCATCCCTACGGAAACCACCACCGAAAGTTCTACCACTACGGTAACAGCTGCAAAACCAACCACAGAAGAGAGCTCGACAACTACGATCGTAACGCAAGAACCAACCACAGTTCCAACGCAAACCACCACAGTCCAAACGTCAACAGCATGGACTACAACGGAGAAACCTTCGACAACGACTGCCACATCGACATGGAGCACAGAAGCTGGGAATGACTCTACCACAACATCACAGCCAACATCGACCACGCCGGTACCGAATTTGCCACCAGGACAAACTTGCGAAGGTGAAGGCTATATGGCTGATCCAATGAATTGCAGGAAGTTTTATCGTTGTGTCCGAGATGGAGATTCATACACAAAATATGAATTCAGTTGTGCCAAGGGTACAGGTTGGAGTGAGGATAAACAAACTTGTGATTACGCGGTAAATATTGAACGGTGCGAAGGACAAACCGAGGAACCGGAGACTTCGACCATCCCTACGGAAACCCCCACCGAAAGTTCTACCACTACGGTAACAGCTGCAAAACCCACCACAGAAGAGAGCCGACAACTACGATCGTAACGCAAAACCAACCACAGTTCCAACGCAAAACCCCACAGTCCAAACGTCAACAGCATGGATACAACGGAGAAACCTTCGACAACGACTGCCACATCGACATGGAGCACAGAAGCTGGGAATGATTCTAAACGACT